CAATAGTAAATGGATATCCGGATAAATTCAGATATGGATAAATGGATGACGGATTTATCCAGATTGGACCTCTATATTATGGATATAATGAACAAAATCTTTCAGCCCGAAGGGTCCGTTATAACAAGGGTAAAGTATATATGTATATACTAAAGTATAGAATTATTTATTTATTCTAATTTATATTTTAGGTTAAAAATCAACATAAAGATAGGGGCAAATCAGCTAGAGTTCCTATCCATTATCCGTTTATCCATTTATCTATTGGATATCCAGAACTGAATTTATTCGGATATCCGTTTTACTATTGATATCCGGATAATTATTCGAATATTTGTCAGATTATCCGGATACTAATAGTAAATGGATATCTGGATAAATTCAGATGTGGATAAATGGATGACGGATTTATCCGGATTGGATCTTTAAAATTGGCAATTATGATTTATAGAATAACTAAGAACCCAAAAGATGGTAACTACATGATAGTTATGCAGTATGCAATGCAAGAAAGTCTCTGAAAATTATTAGATAGTAAATATGATGAATTAAATTAGTCTTCTAAAATGGTTAACTTATATTACATAGCTGATGGGCTTCATGCAATTCATAAAGCAAAATTAGTACATAAAGATTTTCATTCTGGAAATATAGTTAATCAAACTATGTTTAATTCTTACATTACTAATTTTGGCTTATGTAAGCCAGTGTCACAAAACCCAAGTTCTAATAAAATTTTTGGAGTACTTCCTTATGTAGCACCAGAGGTGTTGTTTGGAGGAAACTATACTCAGAAATCAGATATTTATTCTTTTGGAATAATCATGTCTGAAGTTTTTTCTGGATATCCTCCACACTATGATGTTCTACATGATATTAAACTCACAATAGAAATTGTAAGGGCAAAAGACCTAAAATTAGGTGCGAAGTTCCTAAACTACTTTTGAGTCTGATAAATAGATACTTAGATGCAGAACCTCAAAACAGACCAACTGCTGAAGAATTAGCTAATATGCTGTATGGTTTTTATTATGATTTGAAAAACGAAGAAACCGAATTATTTAAACAGATCAAAGAAATTAAAGACTCAAGTAAAAATTTCTCAATAGATCAGGTAAAGTCGACACGAATTAACTATCAAACACATCCACAAGCTATTTACACAAGTTGACTTTTGAATCTTTCAAATCTTTCTGAGCTAGGTAATAATATTTATTTTATTTTAAAAAATTTTTTTTTGAAATGTATTAATTATAAAAATTTTTGAATTAATAAATATAGTAAATGCAAGTAACGATATTTTCTTAGGAAGTCAACTTATTGATTCATTTGAAATTCCTTATGTTGAGTAATTCAATCATTCATAATTAAAAAAATGCTATAAAAATGCATATTATTAGTTTACAGTCATTACATTTTTCTACAAGCTATTTTACTTACATATGCTATTTACCTTTTTTCAATATGAATATTATTTTGACCAGTTATAAAGCTCGTTGTAAAATAAATAAATTACCTAATTACTGTAGTTGTTTAACTCGAAAATATACTGCATTATAAACTTCAGGCTTTATGATACAAATTATATACTATACAATAAAGATAACTGTTAAAAATGAATAATGAATATTACCACAATTTCTACTGCCAGTGCATTTAAAATTTTTACTTCTCAAATTATTTTCCCATCCACGAGACTTGGCAAAATAGGGTGAGGAATGAAATTAATGGAATGCCTTTCCAAAGTTTAATCGGTCAATTACAATTCTCAAAAAGTGGCTTGAATGAACTGTAATGCTATGTCACATTGTCCAAAGCATGTAACAACAACTGGGATTGAACAATAATTGATTGACATGAGATATATTCTACCATTGAATCTCAAAGCCTAAATCTGAATACCAGAATGCATTAAATATTCTGTCAACATAAACTACTTTTAACTATTTAGCGTTAGCTTTTGTTATTGAGTGTCATTATTAGCTTAGGTCATGTGTGTAGCAGTGGCTCTATAATTTGTTTGTCTGAAGTTGATATAATACCAGTTTCGGGACAAATAAAGTGAATAATTAGTGAAAGACAACCCTAGTTATATTTTTATTTAGTTCTACTGGAAGGGTTAGCATATATAGTTACAATGCTATCATTTAAATAAACTTTACTTGTCTAAGAGAAAATTTCAAGAACTTGCGTGATTTTTTAAAACTGGTTGGGTTAACGTTTATAACAGCTGTAGAAAAAAAATAATAATTGATAAAAGACTATATAACCTATACCATTTTTTCAACTGAACAAGTCGGTATGCTTAATGCCGGCCCAGGTCCGAGCCAATTTTGGTTGCCTGCAATTGGATTAGATTTATCTGACACGTGACAATGATTCGATATATATATATATAACTGGATATCAATTTTCGCATGTTTAGAAAAGAAAATGTTTAAGCGTAAGCCAACTTCTCCAGTACCACCACCACCACTTTCATTTAATGACATTTTATCAGATTTGAGCCGCTTACAAGCTTACAATAAGCAAGCGCTTGGCAAAAAAATAGATATTTTAGAAATAGTCAATACCACTGATAGTAATAACGAAAATAATAAAACCGATGAATCTGGAGAAAATTGTAACTTTTTTTTTTTATTCTGTTTTCCAATAAAAAAAAATTTTTTTGATCAATACTCAAAATTTCAATATTTTTACAGCACAACCTCTAAAGTTCACAACAGCCTCATCACTTATTGAGCATCTAAATAAATTACCAGCTGCTAACACTCCAATATCTTCAGAAACACTCGATGCTACATATGATCTTTGTACAAATTTTATAAATGCCAATGATCAATTACTTGTATCTCGCAGAGATCTCGATGGATTAGGTATAGATATTGAAAGACTGAGGAAAGAATTAAGCGGGATAACAGAAACATTAAATGATAATAATTGTTGCTAAAGCTAATTTTGGTTTAACCGGTCGATTTTTTTCAAAATCAGTCGATTGATTTCTTATAACAATTCACGCATAGGCTTTTTGATTATTACAAAAAGTTATATTTATTGGATTATACCATACAGTCATAATTGTGTTAATATCAAATACATAATACTATATTATTAGCGTAGGCGATATACTCAAATAACGGCAATGAATATTTTAATTAAGGCTTTTAATTAGTGCTGAACCGTAATATGGTTTTTTTTTTTTATTGATAGAAGGCTGGAACTCTCATTGAACTTTTGGATATTTTTTTTAATCGTAAAAGTTCCAGACAAGCTACATACTGATAATTCAAGATATATATATTTAAAGCGTTGATTTGTTTTAATAAACGATGTTTAACGTTAACACTACCCATTTTTAAAAATAATTTATATGAGCTGTTATATGCGTCAATAAATAAAATTCCATTAAAAATTTTGCAGTTAGTTAAAACCATAAGTGATCCTGCCTATGTTCTAAAGAATTAAATAATTGACCAAGTTTTTTTGTAGCTACGTATCTTCCAAGATGTGATCAACCTAATAACCAATCAGAAAATGAATTTGTTATGAGGAATGGAAAGATGTCTTCACAATCTTTCACGAAAAAAAAAGAAAATAAAAAGTTGAGCACCAGAAAATCCTCTGGTATCATACCACTTCCGATTTCTGTATCCAATACTAGCTTCTTCACAAATATATTTACAACTTTTTTAGCCAATCGCTTTCCGTTTTTACCCCACTATTTTACTAGTAGTATACAAGAATCACGCGTAAAAACGCGAGGCAATTTTGATGCTAATTCTAATTCAGTAATAGTCTCGGAAAAGCAAGCTATACAAAAGTTATGGAAGCAAGGATTTTTTGGGAAAGGAAATTTATCAAGAAGTGAGCCTACTTTTGAATGGAGAAATGGAAGGAAAGGTATGAATAAACAAAGTATTAAATTTCATATAATAAATGTGAATTAGTTCATTCATTCGTAATGGTTACAGGGGATCAGCCTTTATCGGCCGAACAAATAACACAGAACCGTAGAATAGCAAGAGCGAGAAGGAAAAAGAACAAGAAGAACGCATCTGTTTCTATGACCAACAATGAAGATAGCAAGGACGTTATTGATGTTAGTGATAAAGGTAATACTGAACCGACCCCTCTGATAGACACACTAGGTCAGCCAGATATAGCTTCGACATCAGCTTCAATAGAACAAATTGAAAAAATTGATGCTGATGAAAATTATAATGATAATAAGGATGATGGTAATATTATGCAAAATCAGGCTATATCTATTCAAGAACATTTACAACTTACAACAGAAGAAGCATTTTTCTTAAGTTTCGGACTTGGATGCTTGGAAATCTATGATGCTAATGATGTATGTGTTTCAATTTTCAATTAAATTTTATATTATACAAATCTTATTTATAACATTTCTAATTTATAAAAAACAGAATTTGATGACTACTCATGATTGTTGGAACGCGTTTCGTATATCTTCCGTATCCAATATCGCTCTTAATGTTCCTCAGGATTCACCAATAACACAATTAGATAATCCATTCATTCTTCAATATGTTGTATATCATTATTTCCGTAGTTTGGGTTGGGTTGTTAAGGGCGGTATGAAATTTGGATGTGATTATGGTATGTATATTATTGAAAAATCCATTAGCACTAAGTAATATATGCGCATGTATTTTTATTTAACAAATTTGACATACTTTACAAATAGTGTTATACGAGAAAGGGCCTGAATATAAACACGCAGAGTTTGTATTTACAAAATTATCCCATACTTAATGAATCTTGATTATAAAACAATTTAATAACAAAGTCTCTTTTGGGGGGTTACTAGATATTGCGTGATAGTACTTCCATACTATCTTTCTGTTACCAACAATAAGAATAATAATAACTTCCGTCATAACGTTACGACATCTTGGCAATTAATGTCAAATTTGAGTAGAGTTTGTGTACAAGTTAAAAAGGTATTTATATGTTTGTTATTTCTGGCTTTTTTTTGTATTCCTTAAATTTATATGTATACTTAAACCAAAATTTATGTAGTCATTAGTGTTATGTTATGTAATTATTCCACAATCACTGCCAGAATCCAGATCAAATTCGCAAACTCATGAACAAATTCAACCTTCAACTTCCTCAGATAATAACCAACATCACGTTAACGATGAAAATAATTATGGTACTATTGATTTGAACAACCCATTCGAATGTATAAAACATTACAAAATTAAAGAAGTTTTAATAAAAAGATGTACGCCGGAAAGGGTCAAATAAAATAATATATATTTTACCATTGGGATATATGAAGTCTATTATTTTAGCTTTAATGGTGTATCCTTGTTTAACAACAGTACTGTATCTACTATTTTCTCAATGGTAGTTTAATTGACTTAAAACGGAACAGCATAGGTCCCCGATACGGCAAAACTATCGCAACATAACCCAGTCCACGTAACTAGTCAACTATAACATAATTGGCTAATATAAAATATATGATATCAATACAGAATTGCTGTAATTGCCTAAGCAGCTTTTCAGTTATAGGTTTCACTCTTTTAAATATTTTTAAAAAAATACACAGTATAATAATGAAAGGTATATCAGAATTCGTGTATCTGGTAGGATTATTCCCAGCTTTGTAAGAAAATATTAACTGTTTCAGCGGCTCGGTTTGACTACGTATCGAAAAGACATATTTTCTGCTGCCAAAATTAAACTTTTCGTTTTTCTCATTTATGATGAAATTTAAAAAATCGATAAAATTAATTTAATTATCAAAGAATTATTTTTTTTTTATGAATAGCATTGATCAAAAGGTTTAATTTCATTTATCTTCCTGACTCTTGGTTATTCAATCATTTCGTTATCATCATCAAAGTTAAAAGATTTGAACTTGCGTTGAAGGTCTAAGTAACATTATTGGACTAAAAACAGTACTATTTCAATAATCTCTTTAATTATAAATGAAAAAAAATCTTTAATAACTAAATCTTTTGCTTTATTCAATTGTTTGATTTATCTGCAGCATTTTTTAATACTATAAAGTTCAAAGCTTGAAATATCATTAATAAAATGTGATATACTAAATTTGAGATTAATTTTCGAATTACTTGAATCGATCGCAGTCGAAAAATATTTATATTAAAGACGTTTACCAACTTTTCATTGTCAGACCAAAGGTAGCATAAAATAGATTTATATTATAACCTTTAAACTTTATTAAAATATTTTTTAAATTTTATTAGTTATTCGTTTTTAAAAAATTACATTTTACATGAGACGATCGTTACAACTTTGAACACTATAAACAATAATTATAAATAAAAATACTAAAAAAAAAAAACGCATGAAAAATTTGAATACAAAAAAAAAAAAAAGTAAATATTTTGAGATACTTGGTTTCAGAGGTAAACACTCTTACTCGTCCCAACCACCACGTAGAGGTGTATCTCAGCGGTTGGGAAGGCGAACCCCAACCCATCTCTCATCCACTGGTACTTGTCGTGGCCGTTCCCAGCTTAGAGCGGGTTGTTCCCTTGAATCATTAATACTTTACGTATTTCATCGAGTAGCTTTTACTCCAGTTATCCTCTAGGAGTTCGAGAAAATCCGTACCGTTCAAGTACTCCAAAAAAAAACGACGACTATTTAATAAAAAGGTAAAAAATAAAAAAGTTAAAAAAAAGCGAAATGCAGAAATGACAGAATGAGATTAGTAAGAAAAAAAAAAAAGGGGGTCTCTTATATATTACTGTATTAACGTGTTTATTGTTTTGAGATCTGCGATTGAGTTTCAAACCGGTCTGGGTTTTTTTGATTCATATGATTGGTACATCACGCGATTGACGTAATCATCACGTTTTTATTGAGTTTTTTCTTATAGGCACGAAAATAGTAGCGATACTGTATATTCTAAAGACAATTCCAACTATTAAATTGTCTAACAATTAAGCACCGATCATAATGACCTATTGTATCCTTTTTTTAAAAACAATTTTAAATCGCAAAGGTAATATTTTAGATAATACTTTAATAGTAATATTACATAAAAAATTATAATCGTAAACAAAATTTTCATATATAAGGTAACGGGAGGTATAATGGCGCACCTAAGAACAACTGATAATAAAATTTTCCAAGAGAGAGTTTATCACTTACAAAATTTATAAACTTGTCCTTCTACTAATGTACTTTAATTAAATTTAAAAAAAAAAAAGCTTTTGGTAATAAAATTTATGTTCTTTTATTACATGATTAAAATCATTGAAAAATTGTAAATTACAAATCAGGAGGGTAATTTGGTGCACCACCCTTATACCCAATATCACCCAGTCTAACCAAAAAAATCAGTAAAATGCAATACGTAATCATTACATGAATATACCAAGATATCACTTAATAGTGGTTATCGTTACTGCTTTCTTATTTTTAGTTACTTTATTTTTTGCTTGATTTTGTACTTTTTTTAACTCACATTTAGCCTGATTTTGTACTTTTTTCAATTCACACTGAGCCTTCTTTTAAGCAGCAACTTCTTTTTTTTGTTTAGTTTCTTCAACTTTTTTTTTTGCTAGTTCATCTGCATCCTTTAGAGCTTTTAATAATTCATCATTAGTAAGAAGTTGGGCAAATAGTAATGTTTTTTTTTTTTGGCTGCTGCGAAGCTTCACCAGTCTCAATATCATTAGCAGCAGATGACATATGTGAAGCTAGGTATTTCAGTATTAGTTTCAGTGAGGAAGTACCAGGATTCTTATATGTCTCTAGTTCTTCTTGCATTGTAATATAACTTCGTTTCATTTTTTCTAACTGCTTAATTTCTTTTTTAAGATACTCATTTTCTTTTTTTTAGCAGTTCCATTTCTTCAAAAACATTGGCATGGGTAGAATGTGTGTAGTTTGGTTGAAAAGGTATATTGTCTAATGGTGATGATAGTAATGAAGATGTTGATAGTAAAGATAATGATAATGAAGATGATAAGGATAATAAGAGTGATGAAGATGATGAGAATAATAAGGGTGATGAGGGTAATATAGGTAATAAGGATAACGAAGACAATGGTATCGAAGATGAAGATGATGATAATGAATAAGTTAAAAGATCCAATCTTTCAGTTGTTAATGAGGAATTAAGACGATCAGCACTAATAGCTTCAGGGTTAAAAGGCTAAATCCCTGTAGTTCTAAATGAATTCATAATCATTTGAGGAGTATAGGTTTTAATATATGCCAGCCCAAGTATTTTAGCAAAGGAATATTTTGTTACTACTTTGCCATTAGTGTTGTGAAGTTTATCACTATTTTCACCATATTCCTGTTTAAGTTTAGTAAATAGTAATTCGGCTGGCTGAAGAATATGAGTAGTATGTGGTGGAAGTGCATATAATAAGATATTATTTTCATAACAAAAATTAACACATGTATAGTTAACATGACTTTTGTGTCCATCGAGAATTAGGAGAACTGGGCGAGTAGGTGGAATGGAGTTGATGAAGTGTTCAATATACATTTTAAAAATATATTCTTTTATATATTCAGAATCCGTAAAGGCCATAACACTACCAGGTGGTGCTCCAGTTAGCAAACCAGGAATTGTACAAACACCTTTGTAAATAAATAATAGAGGTATATAACCACCAGCAGCTAATATAGTTGGGGCAACAGAAATATGCTCATGCACATTGCCATGAGAAATTTTGTGAACTTGACGGGTACTTTTTTTAGCAAGAACTTTTTGAACTAAAGGAGTAATAACAAAGCCAGTCTCATCCATGTTCCATATATAGTCTGGAGTAAGTGAATTTTCATGAATTATTTTGTTAAGCTTATCAAAATGATCTTTTATTATTATATTCTTAGTTATAGTTAATTATATTTAGTATAGAAGAGACTCCATTGGGTAAAATAATATGGCACAGTAATACTGCGGCTAAGTAAAATAGTACGTGATAAAAGTGCCTCTAAGTGCCTCTGACAAAGTGCCTCTGAGTGCCTCTATACAAAGTGCCTCCGAGTGCCTTTACACAAAGTGTCTTCAAGTGTCTTTACACAAAGTGCCTCTGAGTGCCTTTGCACAAAGTGCCTCTGAGTGCCTCTACACAATGTACCTCTAAGTGCCTCTACACAAAGTGCCTTTAAGTACCTCTACATGGTATAGCAATTATACTGTTATACTTCTATTTGTAGAAAAGTTATAAAAAGAAAGCCTTTGCCCATTCTGCTCAAGTTAGAGTTCACTACTCTCTCATAGAATCTAGCCCCACTCCTTTACTCTTCTCTACTTGTAAAGTGTGATATTCTCTCTCTAGAGTAATTCTTACAGACAAGGTTATCACCATGAATTTATTATTAATAAATATTATTATCTATAAACCGTTATTATCTCGAACTGTTTACCTCCTACTATGAAGTTAAAGTATACACTTCATGTTCACCCATGTATATTTATAAAGTATATCACTATATTGGGTGACCTTGTTACTTTGCTATATTTATAATAAGAAGGCTATAGCATTGTAATACTACAATATTGGGAAGTATAGTTATTCATATAATTATCAAATTCAATATATTAAGATCTAGATTCCAAAGTCACAAGAAACTAGCTAGTTATAGCAGCATACAGGCTTGAGATACTTACTTATTTGGGTACAGGCAGCTACATGGCTTGAGATACAAACTTCTGGAAGTATGCTAGTAGAGATTAAGAAAATTCTTTGTTAGGCACACCAAACCAGAAGTATTAAGTGTCTACTTGAAGCAACATACATCAATTTGGGAGTTGAGATAGTAGATAATATAAGTAATATGATGGATATGCAGATACTGATTGGCAGTTGAAAAGGGATATACAAAAATCTAGATTAGCTGTATAGTGGAAGTATGAAAAACTCTAATAGGTATTAGCCATAGATAAATAGTTTGTATATCTAAAGTCCTAGTCTTAGTTTTGAATTGTAATATGTATAATTAGCACTGCCATGTTAGTTATTTAAGTATTAAATAAAGTCTGGGGCAGGAGCTACACCCAGAGTTCCTCTAAATATTTAAAAAAAAAATAAATAATGTATTTTGAAATTTTGGTTAAAATTAAGCTAAACTTTACTTTAGAAGAGTAGTTAATTATGATCCAATGTGTATGTAGAAATACTTTAGAATAAAGTATTAAATAATGATTTGGATTTTAATTAGAAGAAAAATTAAAAAGTATATTTGCAAGTTTTGAGTAAATACTATTGGTTTTATTCAATAAAATATCTAACTGCTTCTGTGTCAATGAGCTTCTTTAGCATAGAGAACCTCAGCATATAATTATGTGAAATATATATATTAAGGTTTACTGATTTTATAAGAAGAATCAGTTAAGTTTTTCTATATTAAATTATGTATTATATATTATTTAGTATAAGCATGCTTGATTATTATATTTATTAATAAACTAAAGCACTAATCTAATATATATAATTTTTAAATAAAGTAAGTAGCCTTATATATTGGAGATGACTTGTTAAGATGTATAATGGCCTATTAAAATCAAACATAAACAGGATTAATAATGATCATTACTATTGCAGATTTTTTAATGATAATTTTGGGTTTACCTCAGATCTTAATATTTAAAATCTCAATACTTAAAATTCTGAAACAATACCCCAATAGTATTAAAAATTGCTTCAAGATTTTAAGTATCAAGATTTTGGGTGTTAGGATTCTAAGATAGACCAGTAATTTTATTATGATAGAAAATAATAAAAGATATAAAATTTTGTATAATAAATTTATTATCAAATAACTATGTATTTATCATTAATTATCACTATAAATTTTACTAAAATAAAATTATATTTATTGAAATAAATAATTAATTAAATAATCCCTGATTACTATATCAAGATCATATGAGGATTATTATTACTAATATATTATTTTTTTTTAAATTAAATCTTTAAACTAGCTTTACACTAAAATAGAGCTATTTTTATTAAATATATAAAAAAATATTACTAATCAAAACTAAAAACACTAATCATCAGCATTCTATATATTTTTATAAAAATATTAAAAAAATAGCTCTATTTTAGTGTAGAGCTAGTCTTGAAGTTTAAATTAAAAAAAAAATAGTATTCTATTTAGTTAATTATTTGTTTCAATAAATATAATTTTTGTTTTAATAAGATTGATATATATACACTCCTCTGACAGGGATCACTATAATTTTTTTTTACAATATGATGATTATTTTTTTATACATTTTTTTGATTACAAATTTTTAACAATATATTTATTAATTTTAAGCAAATTTTTTTTATTTAATAACTATGTAAATAAATTTTTATTTACAAAAACTAATACTATTTAGGATATGCAAAGTATAAATTACAGCAAGTATACATTGGGGTATACTTTTAACAAGGTTTTTAAGAACTCAACTATCTAAATTATACCATTCTTTTTGCAACAAATCGAATAGTTCAGACTTACTACTTGGCAAAGGAATATTCTTACAAATACAATGCTCTAATTCATCCCATAGATGCTCTATAAAGTTGAGATTGGGGCTTTGTAAAGGTCAGTAAAGTGGAATGATAAAATTTTTTGCCATAAATTCTCGTGTATAAGCTGCTATATGAATTTTTGCATTGTCATCTTGAAATAAAAAGTTTTTTTTTTCAGTTATATTTTTTAAACCTTCTAAATAATGCAATAAACAATTATTAAAAATGTTAGTATAGTCTTTTAAATTCATTATCCCATAAACACAGATTAAAGGTCTTATGCCATATATGCTAAAGCACCCCCAAACTATCACACCCTTTCTTTCTGACTTAAATATTGGAACTAAACATTCTATATCATATTTTTCTTTGGGTTTTCTCCACACATACATATGACTATTCCCACCAAACACTTCAAATTATGATTCATCACTCCAAATAATATTTTTTCACTTTTTATTTCAATGTTTCTTACTTTCAGCCCACTGCAAATGAGCTATACAATTACCTTTATCCACAAATAGTTTTCTCTTTCCAACTTAGCTAAAATAGCCTATTTCATGAAGGTGATATTGGATGGTACATTTGAACACATTTACAGATGTTGATTCAACAAATTTATTTGTTAAAACATTTAGGCTTGACTTTCTATCTTGTTTTAGTAGGCAAACAAGATGACAGGAACCACATTCAGTTATTTTAGAGTCCCCACCAGGATGAGGAGGCAGTTTTGTTTATCCAGTTTTTTTATAATAAGCAATGATATCATAGATGGTACTCTGGGGTAATTCTAAAGTTTCTATGATCTTAATTGCCTTCACACTGCACTTCCAAGCACCAATAATTTGACTGCGCTGTATTTCAGTAAGTTCTTTTCCTTACTTCAATTTTTTTTTTTTAAAAAAAAAATATTCATATAAATGGCTTTTGACAAAGCTGTAAAAAAATTTTTGTAGCCGTATAGTATTTTTTTAGTCGTAAAAAAAATTTTATAAATAATACATCATAATTGTCGATCATATATAAATTAGGAAATTCCAGTGATCCCTGTCGGGGGAGTGTGCATTGATGCCCATAAAAAATCCGCAATTAGTGATGTTCATTAGTGAACCCTGCCTATGTTTGATTTTAATAGGCCATTACACACCCTAGTGACTCGTATGGGATTTATATACAAATTTATTATATATATGATCTTACATACTCAGATTTGGTATTTTGTTATTTATTAATTATGTAATGTGAATAACTTATACTTAATTTTGTACGCCAAACTTACTTGGGAACGTTCAACGGCACAGGGCAAATCTGAGAATTCTTAATGAAATTAGTATTTATAATACGTAAAGAGATTTTTTTTCAACTTTAATTCTTATTTGCTAATGTTTTCTTATCTTTATCATTTGTCTCTTAATACAAATATAAATGCCGGTATCAAATGAGAAACGTCTGAAAATTAATTCTGCACAATTGAGTTCGAGTAACCAACCAACAGAATCCGGGTTCTATGTTCTCCGTTCTATTAAAATTTTCATGTTGGCAGGCTTCTAATAATGTTTGAACGTTTCATTTTCATTTGTGGTTATTATCTTATTCTGGTCATGGTCTATATCAGCAGATTTTTTGATAATGGACATTCCTTGTTCATCCTTTTTAACTTTAGTTCCACATCGGTGGCAATGATCGAGATTCTTTACCCACTGGTAGTTTAACGTCAAGTACTTTGTTCGATTTTAGTAGATCTCTTTACTATATTGGCTTGTACGGTGGTGATATCAAGCTTTTCTGAGTCGTTCATGTATTAGTTTCGTCTTTCACCTTTATTATCCATCCTTCGAAATTCGCCAATCTTCCTTATCTATCTTTTGCAGACATATCTTAAGTCATTTCCTTTCACGATATCCATCTTTTTTCGATTCTGGCTTTATTTCAATCGTGATAATAAAATGGTACGTTTTACCAACATGATTTACGTTGGCAGTTGTTAAGTAATAACCGAATGCCTCATATTCGTTCGTTTCAAATCCAATTCATATTTATTGCAATGTTTATATTTTCTGCTTCGTTATTAAAGTTCAGTTTGGCTGGTTTTTCACACTCTTTGGACACTTCATGTTCATCGGATTTCTTCGGCATAATCTACCTCGTGGGCTTTCTTTTTGGCACTTACTGACATTGGATTTGAAACGAACGAATATGAGGCATTCGGTTATTACTTAACAACTGCCAA